AAAAAAAAAAAAAAAACCAAAAACAAACCCCATTCTTAGTTTGCTGTAGCACGTATCAGAGCTTCATTCCTTTTTATGGCCAACACTATTTTACTGTAGGGATGAACCACATTTGTTGATCCATTCCTGGTTTTAGCTGTTGTCCAACATCATGTTGCCATGAACATTTGTGCACAGGTTTTGGTAGGGGTGTATGCTTTCATTTCTCCTGGCGTCTTGTGACCACTCAGTTTAGAAATGAGGTGGTGGGGCCCTGGGTTTGGCCTGTGGGCCATAGTTTGCTGACCCTGGGTTAGAGGATGTGTGAGGTGTTTGGAAGAGTTGTTCTCATCTTATTCCACTGAGTGAATATTCTGGGCCGTGGCAGCTGGCTGTGAGAAGGGAGGATCATGGTGTAGAGAACTGTAAGTATTTAAAATATGTCTTCTTAAAAGACAGGACTTCAGTCTGCCTTGTTACTTCTTATAATGTCTTACCACAAATAAAGCAAATTACTAAACTGCTGGTGTACATCTTCATTTCAGGTGCCATGAGGACTTACCTCTCTTTCTGCGGTGTTTCACAGTGGGGTGGATTTACACGAGGATTTTGTCCCGGTCTGTTGAAATACTGCAGAGAGTTCACATGTATGAGGTTAGAGCACAAGTCCGCACCCACTTTTTAAAGACTGACAGTGGTGAACTGTGAAGGAAAACCTGCCCTGCCGCAGCATTTCCCACACACGGGGTCAGCACAGGGTACTAGGAGGAAGGCGTGTTTAAATAGGCAACCTGCTGTCCCCTGGTCAGTAGAGAAGACAGCTGAAGACAAATGACTGTTCTGTTTGCTGAGTCTGTTCAGGACGGCTGTGGGTAGTGCACAGCCCTGTGGAAGCCCCACACAAGTCTCTGCGGCCTGAGCTGGAGTCTCAGACCTCAGTGTGAGATTTGGGAGCGTCCCCAGTCTCTCAGGTGGGAATGTCCCATCTCAAGTGCTTCTCTGTCAGCTGACACAAATTTATAATCACAACTCAGAAATTTGGTCCTGTCCTTCTGCTCAACATCGTGAAGTTGCTAGCGTTGACTCTTACTGTGCTTGATATGCTCAGCTGGGTTCTTGACCTGGGACCTGGAGGGCCACGGATGGGCTTTGGAGAAATTTGCAAACCCTCAAATTGTAAGTGGGAGTTTAGGCGTTTTTCTGGGCTACATCATCATGTGTTTTAAAGAGATCCATGAACCATAAAGGAGTTAGTGCACAGAATGACCAGTCTGTTCAGAAAGCTAGACCAGAGCGTCCTCTTGGTGAGGGGGGTATTGGATGGCACCCCCGTTACTGTCCTGCCCACTCCAAGTCCTTCTGGCCTTCAGTCCCTTGACCTGCTGGGTTCCCAGAAGTATGTGGGTTTGCCAGCCCTGTCCTTGGCTTGGCTGTCCAGAGTTTGATTCCATGTAGCTCTGTGCCTTGACCTGGTTTGCAGAGAACACTGTGTGGAGCCCACGGACCTCTGTAAGCTCAGAGCAGCGGGCTGGGAACCCAGAGTGTATCTCACAGTCCCTGACCTGTCAGTCCAGGGCCTTTGGCCTTATTGTAGAGTAGAAAAATGTGTGTTATAAATATACTTTACCAATCCTGTGGGCTTCTAAATGTAATTACAGCTGAATTTTTTTTGTGACTCTGATTAGATTTCTTTGTTATCATTGTAATAGGAAGCTGTTGAGGAACTTGAAAGCCTTTTGTCTCAGAGAACTTACTGTCCTGACAGCAGAGGCCGATGGTGGGACCGACTGGCCCTTAACCTCCACCAGCACCTGAAGCGCCTGGAACCGGTACTGAGGAGCAGGGTGCTCCTGAAGCTCTTCTTACTTCTGAATGAATCTTTAAATGAGGCAAACTTTTAAGTACTTTAAAGTCTAAATGTGATTAGAATGTGTGTTTCTTCCGTCAGCCTCACACCAAGAACGAAACACCCGGGACACTAACACAGCCTGAAAATAGAGACAGGGGATGTGGCCTCCCCGGCACATTGGCAGATGGGCTGGCTGTGGACTTAGGGTCTAGGAATTAAGGGCGAGGAAGAATCAGACATCTCGGCTTTCAGCGGGTGCCTTTAAGAAAGTTTTTTTTGTTGTTGTTTCTGAAGTGGTGATTTAATTTATTTGTTGCACATGGTTTCCAGGTAGAAAGATTGATGGAAAAATGTCCCTTATTGCAGGTACTGAATGAATAACTCTTTGGACTTCTTTTTTTTTTTTTTTTTTTTTTT